CCCCCCCCCGCGCCGCTCCCCCACCCCACCTCGTCAGCTCTCCTGAACAATACCCAACTGTCTGGACAGGATGGGAAAGTGTCTCCGGGAGTTGGGAACCCACCCTCCTACAAACCCAGACTTGCACGAAAGTTCTGCCTCTCACCGCAGGAAGTGAGGACGGTGGCTTCAGGCGTCATTAATCATTTTGAAGTGATTATTCTTACGGGAGGGGGGCAAGGAAAAAATAGAAAGATACAATTTGAGTTAAGTCATGCCCAATAAAAATCAGCACTTCTCCAAATCATGATTTCCCTGATTCCATGGGGAACATTTAAGAGCATGCTGCACTGACAAGACCAGATAGGAAATCTGTTTCCTCTGTAATTGGAACTCCTGCAAATACTTGGGACCTGACACGGAGAGATAGGGGAAGGGTGTGTGTGTCGGGGGCTGGGGGGGGGGGGGGTGATCCTTGATTTCCTTCACCTTCCAGCCCAGGAATGCACGGACACATTTCAAAAGGGCGGTAAAGCAAGAACCATTTGGGGCTTTGTGGCCTCCAGGAATCTTCATTTAAATTGAAATTCCGGGAAACCAAGCTAGAAACAATCATGCTTTGTCTTCTAATTGAGCTAGGGAACTGTGAAATCCCCCCCACCCCGCCCCACCACCTCACCAGGCCCCCAGCCCAGCAGGCAGGGTCCGGTAATTCCCTAGATTGGCCTCCCCATGGGGTGGGTGCTTCTGAAGCAGGACCAGCCCCGCCAGCCTTTTGGATCTGCTCAGCCTTCCAGGAGACACTCCCCAGCCAGGCCTTTGAAGAAACACTGTCTCCCCAGCACAGGAAAAGTGGTAACTAGGAAATGAAATCTACTCTGTCCTTTCAGAGAAGATTGCAGTTCCTGTGATCCTGGGCCCAGAGGAAGTGCACTTACGTGAAATTGGATTAATTTTTTTCTTTCCACCTTGAAGTCACCTGGCCTGCCAGAAGCATCTCTCCTCAGCTTCCTCTCCCTGGATCCTTGGCAGGGTCCCCAATTCTCTGTTTACTCCTTATTCGACAAGATACCTAAGTCTATATCAGAACTCATGAAACCAATGCAGAAAACTTCCCTTCTTCCTGGCTGTGATGCTTGCTCCCTTCCTCTCCAGTCTTGTAGACCCTTCACAGTATGTGAGCCTTGGGAAAAGTCTCAGACTTTTCCATCAGATAC